TCAAGAAGAAAATGTTTTGAAAATGATGGTGACAGTAATTGTACAATTATGCTTGATCATATTGAATTATGGATTGTTATAATATCTGTAAGAGCTCCCAATAAAATGATGTTTTGAAAAGATAGGAAAGAAGGACAAGATCAAAGTGGATGTCAGAAGAGACTCTGAAACTCGCTCTTCATTGTGGAGCGGCTCAGGCAAACGGGAACTAATGAAGGTGCTCAAACCTGCGATGACACCCCCGGGCGTGCTGGCCAAGAGCAGGGCTGCAGCACTTGCTCATGGAGATCAAGGACTGCAGCCTTCAGTGTGGAGTACAGCTCCTTGCAAAGAAGACCAACATCCTGACATGGGACCCAGAGTTGGCATCATAAGTGGATGTCAAAGATTTTCTTGTGCATGGATCCACAATCAATGCTCATGGCTACCGCAGTCAAGGGATAAAAAGACGGGTTGCATTAGGTAAATCTGCTGCACAAGGCCTCTTTAGAATGTTCAAAAGCCAAGATATGACAAAATAATAATTTATAAATTATCAAGGGTTTATGAGGTAGGGGGAAGTGGGGAGGGAGGGGAAAGATGAGGAGCTGATGCCAAGGACTTAGGTAGAGAGCAAATGTTTTGAGAATGATGAGGGCAATGAATGTACAAATGTGCTTTACACAATTGATGTATGTATGGATTGAGATAAGAGTTGTATGAGCCCCTAATAAAACAAACAAACAAACAAAAGAATGTTCAAAAGCGAGGATGCTACTTTGAGGACTAAGGTGTGCCTGACCCAAGTCATGCTTTCTCCATGGCATCGCAGGCATGTGTAAGTTGGACATTGAATAAGGAAGAAAAGATGCATTTGAATTGTGGTGCTGGAGAAGAATTTTGGAAGTACCATGGATGCCCAATGGACAAACACATGTGTCTTGGAAGAAGTACAGCCAGAGTACTCCTTAAAGGCAAGGACGGCGAGACCTTGTCTCATGTACTCTGGACGTGTTGTCAGGAGAGACCAGTCCTTGGAGAGGTGCATCATGTTTGGTGAAGTCCAGGGGCAGAGAGAAAGGGGAAGGCCCTGCACAAGATGAACTGCGATCTGGCTGCAGCCGTGTGCTCTAACGTAAGGACAGGTGTGACGATGGCAACGCAATGTCACTTAACAACAACAGTGTACAATCCTTGGAGCACGCAGGCTGATGTGGCCTATGGAGAATGTTGTGCACCTCGAAAAGATGGAGTCTAAAGTCCTGGCTGTCTGTAGTGAACAGTCTGGGTCACCGAGGGCTGACTAAAACGAGGTCCAAAAGGCCCCATGAGGAACGTGACCCCGGGCTTACTCTCCCATTGGACGGTTAGATGCTTCACCTTGAGTGTTTCCCAATGGCCGGCTGTCCCACTGGCTCACTCACCAGCAGAAGTGGAGTTGCCTTCTTCCACACAGACGCGCTACCACCCCCTCCTGACTTGGGTTTCCAGTAAGGTTCACTAATCAGCTTGGTAGGAGTGTCTGCTAATTTGGGGTGATTGTAGAACAATGTTGTGTCGGAGGAACTGCTTGGTCTTCTCCCTCTCCCCCCCAAATGGGAAACTGACCTAGTTGAATTGTGGTGTCCCTTGTCGAAGTGGTTTTTATGATGTACAAATAGGGGGGTGATATGGTCCATGAGCACTTGGCAGGCGCACTACCTCATTACTTGGGAGGCCTGATTAGATTAGATGGCCTGAGAACACAAGCCTGCCTTTGTCTTGGTGTTTATCCTTATAATGGTAGTCTCGTACACAGTTGGTCCTTTGGTGATGGATCCATTTCACTCAGCATAGTAGTTTCCAGGTCCATGCAAATCATGCTGTTTCATGGGTTTCATCGCTGTGTTTTAGGGAGGTATAGTATTCCACCATGTATACGTACCTGAGTTTCTTTATGCATTCTTCTATTGGTGGGCACTTGGGCTGTTTCCAGTTGTCTGCAATTGTGCACTTTGGTGAAACGAGCATGGGAGGACATAGGTCTGGTCATGTTCTGCCGGTGGTCTTGTAGGCATCATGTCACGACACTGCTTGGCTAACTCCCTGGTGGCTTTCTAGTTCCTTCAGAATCCAATCTGAAGTCCTGTCCCTGACCGTCAAGGCCATGCCTAATCTCCTTGGCTCACTCCGTCGCAGCCACAGTGACTGCAGAGCCCCTGCACTGAGCTGCTTCTGCTGCTGGGGTTCCTCCATGACCTGTGTGTGGCTTTCTCCTGCACGTCTTTCAAAACTCATTCAAGGTTTTCCTCGTGGTTGTCTTCTTGGGCCAGCCATCGAAACTATCCCGGCCTCTAGCAATTCACCTTCTAGTCCTTTGTTTTATCCGAGTAGTTATTTTTTTATTTATTCGAGTGCCCCATGAAAAAATTTGCTTTTTTCTCTTTCTATCCCACTGCCTGGAGCACAGGAAACACACTCACCGTGTTGAAGTCCACGTTCACTCATTGACGCGAGTGCAGGGTAGAACTGCCCCGGGAGGTTCTGAGACCGTAACTGTTCACCAAAGCAGAAAGGCCTGTGATTCTCCCCCAGAGCTGCCAACCTTGATGATTACAGCCCAACACGTACTGTTTACATAACCACTCTGCCACCAGGGCTCCTTCCCGAGGACAGGAAGTAGTCCTTACATGTTGTTAGCATTTGTCACACCGTCATTGTCTACGTATTTCTTTTCCTAGTGTATGTCTTTCCCAATGTGAATGCACACTCCGGGATTGGGGCTTTGTCCAGCTTAGTTCCCTCCTGGAGCCCCTCCCAGCCCTGAACAGGCCTGGCAGTAAGAGACAAGTGCAAATGAGCTGATGACAGGGGCTTTTGAGAATGATGAGGGCAATGAATGTACAAATGTGTTTGACGCAATGGATGTATGTATGGATTGTGATAAGAGTTGTAGAGCCCCCAATAAAATGATTTTTTTTTTAAAAAGAGAGAAGTGCATGGAGAACTTAGCGTGAAGGAGGGGCAACTAAACTGACTGAAGGAACTACAGAGGGGACAGGAACTCTCACAGATAACAAAGACATTTAAATTGGGCTAGGTATGCCGACCTAGAAACTGACAAGGCCTTGGAGGAAAAGAACACGTCAGGTAGGAGAAATCTCGCGAGATGTTGGACCGCCAACATGGCGTCCGACTCTTGACGCCACACTTACTATGGCGACCGGGGGGGCGTGTCTGAAGGAAATCACGCGAGAGGTGCATCACGGCTGTGGTCCGAGAATTGAGCCGGGGGTGTGGAGCAGTCAAGATGGAGACGGCAGCCGGCGGCCCCAGCCCGCTGATCGCGAACAACAAGCAGCCCCAGCCGC